TATAAATGAAGAGAAAAAAATTTTCCTTGAAGATTTTTTTGTAAGTTAGTTTCCAAACAATATTAATGACCTGATTGATCTTGCTTTTAGTGAAAGCCTGGCGTAATATTTGTTATTTCATTGTAACGTGTCTCTGTGAGCCAAAAGCCGCAACAACCACATTCCTCCTCTCTGTTTCGCACAGATGCAACCTCCTGCTACTCATCCATGACTCCAAGAAACTCGTACTAGTTCCGCACAATAAAGAAAGAATTGGAGAACCTGGGCATTGATCCCAGTGCCTCTCGCATGCTAAGCGAGCGCTCTACCATTTGAGCTAGATCCCCGAACGTATGCCGCCTGCGTGGATCGAACACGCTACCTTAAGATCTTCAGTCTTACGCTCTCCCTTAATATTGAGGGATGTGTTGAAATCCCACATAAAATTTTTCTATTTTGAGTGGTCGAACCCCCGATCCGTCGCTTCGCGACGTCTCGGGTGTTCTCTGACAATTCTGACAATTTGGCGAGCGTAGCGCATTTTTCAAATCCCCTCACCTGTCCAAAATGAGCGTCAGCGTCCTCTGAAATCCCCCACAGAAAATAGAGCGAGCCCTTTTCTAAAACAAAATCCAGCCAATGACGCCTGGACACCATCGAAATCCTGAGCTTTTCACCACCCAACCACCCTGCCACAGGACAGGGATGCACCCGCGTCCCTCCCTCCCCCCACCACCACCCACACTCCTTGCATTCACACCACCACCAAATCTAACCAAATTTTCACGTTTATTCACTCAGGTACATACACATCCAACAGCAAGCACGGTGTTACGCACGCTGCCTGTCAAACCTCATTGTTCGCGCGAATTCGACGCGATTTCGATTCATTCAACTAATCTATCACTTACGCATTAGAGCGAATCTACATCAGGAAAGAGAAAAGCGACTCGCTGCCAGGAATGCGACGAAGATTGCGACGAGAGCGATTCAGAATACCACTACATCACTTGTTTCTACTGCCATCAACACCTCCATCGCCGTTGCGCCAGTCGCACCATTGGAGAAAGTCAAGGGTTTTTTATTTGCACGTCAGAAAGTCGATGCCACCGTGCCAAGATCAATGTGCCCGTCTCGTTTTT